CCAATGAACGAGCCAAACAGAAGATTTGATATCAATACAACCCTCCTTGGATCCTGAACCAGGAGCCGAACAGGAAGAAGGAAAATAGAAGGCCGAGGGCCAAACAGCCCCATATTTCGATGGAAACAAAGCAAGAAAAAGGCCCAACAAATCCCAACAAACACCAAGAAACAACCAATCCACGGCACTTATAAAACCCTTGTTTGAAGACTCTTTTCCTCCCAAATCACACACACGCTCTCTCTCTACACACTCTTCGTGCTCTCCGCCCCCCATTCTCTCCTCCATTTCTCACTTCTTTCGATACCAGATCTCTCCTCTGTCGACGGCAATGGCTTCCCTCGCCCAAGCTTCTGCTGCCCTTTCCACCTCCTTCAAGCCCGCTTTGGTAATTGGATAAAGTTTCCATCTTTCTTCTCTATGCTTGTTTGTTCTGGTTTTTCGGATTTGGGTTTGTGGGTGTAGATTTGGACCCTCAGATTGTGTTTTTTGGGAATCTGGTTAGATTTGTTGAGCTGGGTATTGATTGTTTTTGGTCAACTGTAAATCTAGAAGCTTTTGCTTCCATTTCTGATTGATTGAAAATTTACTTTTGATGATCATAAAGTTTGAGCTTGGAATGATCTGAGAGTAGCTTGAGTATGACATAATTGATTGAATTGAGTTTTTAGAATAATTTGATCTGCTACTTTGAAGTTTGGAAATGGAAAGTGATTGCATGCTACTGGTTGGGTTAGACATTTGATGGCCCCATTTGGTGATTTGAAGCTATTTGGTCAGTTTTTTTATTTCATGGGGTAGCTTTTGAACTTCATGATTTTGCTTTAGTTCTAGCTTTTGGAATAAATAACTCGGTTTCGAAAATCATTTATTGAATTGTGCTGGTTGCTTTGCTTTAGTTCTAGCTTTTGGACACAACAATAAATGGCTTGGTTTCAAAAATCGTGTATTGAATTGTGCTGGTTGCTGCACGCATTGAACTTAGATTAACCAAAACATCAAAAGAAAATTATGGTACAAGTACAACTGAAGGATATGTTTTGTTTCTCGTGTTTTATGACTTTAAATAGTTCTACAAAATCACTTGTACGTATTGTACTTGGAGAATCTTATGGTTCAAGTACAACTGAAGGGATACGATGAGAGTTCGGAGAGACATGGAAGATGGTAGTGAGTAGTGGATACATTGTTTTAGATCTTAGGAGATCCGAGGTCATCTTCCTCTCCATCAGTTCTCTACCTCTAGAAATTTGTTTTTAGTTAGTTTTCTGTTTTGTTTAGTTCATATTTACAACATTTTTGTCACTGCTTAAGAACAATTTATGAACTTTCTGTTTGACTTTCCTTTGATAAAATGGAAGCTGGGGTTTTCCCTTCGTATAATTTAAAGAGTGTTGGGTATTTGCCATGTGGGAGATTGGCTATTTTAGAAGGTTTATGATGAAGGGTGTTTATTCCATGGTATCTCTTTTTAGATAAGTGAACAATATTGACTTGAAAATTTTCAATTCCTTAGATTCTGCTTTTTCTTCATGTTTATTTGATATAATTTCATTCATGACATTCATTTTTTATGGTTGAATGTTGAAGCAGGCACCTGGCAGCAGGAGCTCTGGTTTGAAATCAGTTTCCTTTTCCGTCACTGGAAAGCGCTTTCCATCTCTCAGTTCCCGACCTGGGCGCCTCCAAATTTCTTGTGCGGTAAGCTTGATTGATCATAATACTACCGTAACCTTTTCTTTTATTGTCATCTGTCTCATACATAAATTTCTGCATTCTAAATATATCTTCACTTCTGGTGATGTGGCATTGGATTAATTTATTGTATGCATGTTCTTTTTGAATTGATAAAATATGATTACTTGTTGGGCATGTTGGAAAATCCATTTGTTCCCTTAACATCTTCACTCCGCTTTTTAAAAGTTTCCTGTAATGAAGGAAATTATACGTTGAGGTCCTCTTAAGACACAGAGTGCTGTTTCCTCTAACACAGACCTCAGATTGTCTTCCTTATTTTGCTAAAAGAGGGCCTGATAACGAATAATGGTATCTCAGAAAGCCAGTGCTTTGTACCAATCTGCTCTTGGCTCGCTATGATACCTACACTCTTCCATAGTTTTCTTTAATCTATGAAACAACTTTTCGTTTGAGGTCCTCTTAAGACACGGAGTGCTGTTTCCTCTAACGCAGACCTCAGTTTGTCTTCTTTATTTTGCTAAAAGAGGGCCTGATAACAAATAATGGTATCTCAGAAAGCCAGTGCTTTGTACCAACCTGCTCTTGGCTCGCTATGATGCTTACACTCTTCCATAGTTTTGTTTAATCTACGAAACAACTTTTCCTTTGCGGTCCTCTTAAGACACGGAGTGCTGTTTCCTTTAACACAGACCTCAGGTGTCTTCTTTGTTTGGCTAAAAGAGGGCCTGATAAAAAAACTAGGGCATCTCAGAAAGCCAGTGCTTTGTACCAATCTGCTCTTGGCTCGCTATGATGCTTACACTCTTCCATAGTTTTCTTTAATCTACGAAACAACTTTTCCTTTGAGATCCTCTTAAGACACGCAGTGCTGTTTCCTTTAACACAGACCTCAGATCTCTGCTTTGTTTGGCTAAGAGGGCCTGATAAAAAATCATAGCATCTCAGTAAGCCAGTTCTTTGTACCCATCTGCTCTTGGCTCGCTATGATGCTTACACTCTTCCATGGTTTTGTTTAATCTATGAAACAACTTTTCCTTTGAGGTCCTCTAAAGACACGGAGTGCTGTTTCCTTTAACACAGACCTCAGATGTCTTCTTTGTTTCGCCAAAAGAGGGCCTGATAAAAAAACTATGGCATCTCAGAAAGCCAGTGCTTTGTACCATGTGCTCATGGCTCGCTATGATTCCTATACTGTTCCACAGTTTTCTTTAATCTACAAAACAAATTATCCTTTGAATATCATAACCATGTCATAGGATGCTTAGCCTTGTGTCGTCTAAGAAAGCATTTTTGTTCTTTAAAGGTACTAAAACTCTGTCAAATATAAGTTAGGTAATGGTGATTATAATTATAATAGTAATATGGTATTAATACTTTTTGCAGGCCAAACCGGACACTATCACCAAGGTGTGTAGCATAGTGAAGAAGCAGCTGGCTTTAGCTGAAGATGTGGATGTGTCTGCTGGCTCAAAGTTTTCAGAACTTGGTGCTGATTCTCTTGACACGGTAATTACCAATTATCTTTTGTTGTTCCTATTTTCTACCTTGCCGATTAATCATTAGCTTTCTATTATTTTTCCTTTCCTATAACGCAATTAGAATTTTAGAATGATAGGGGTTTTATAGGGCGGATAGATACATCAGGCTATGGAGTCCAATTAATCATTAACTTTCAGACTACAACGTTCTTGGATAGATCTCTTTGTGCAAAACTGGTTGCAACTTGCTATGGATGTTTGTTTTTCCGTGTTTAGTTGGTTATCGTGATTGATATATTCGCACCCATTGATACAGGTTGAGATTGTGATGGGACTTGAGGAGGCATTTGGCATCACCGTGGAGGAAGAAAATGCCCAGACCATCGCCACTGTTCAAGATGCAGCTGATCTGATTGAGGATCTCGTTGCGAAGAGTGCTTAATGAAGTTTGAAGAAAACCAACACAAACATGAGGACCCTTTTTTTCTCCCCTTACTTTCTTTGTATGAGGTTTATATTTTATGATTTTGGGACTTTAATTATCTCTAGTTATGGATGTTTTAGCGCGCTTAATTGAAGATCGATCGTTAGTGGCGTTTCTAATGTTATGTATTTGTTTACTTTTATCTCAAGAAAAATAATGAATAGTTGTTTGCTAATGTGCTGAATTTTATTTTTATCTTACTTGCATAAGCTGCAAATATCGTGGACGACAATTCTCGAAAAAGAAAATCAATGTGACAAGCACTAGTAAGTGTTACTTAATTCCAAACACTACCAATAACCTTCAACCTTTGTAAGATGGGTGGCAATTCAAATTCTTACTTGTTTAGTTGTGAAGGGGATTTGAGAGATTCGGAATTAGTCAAGAAGAGTTTGGGGAATTCAGACTTTGAGAGCAAGGATTTGGGGAATACAGACTCGAAGAGTTTGGGGAATTCAAACTTGAGTATAGCATGGCTGACGAACTGTCAACATTGCCCCTGGTAGTCGAGAAGAGTTGGGGAATTCAGACTTGAGTGCAGCATGGCTGACGAACTGTCATGTTAGTCAGGAAGGGGTTTGGGGAATTCAGACTTGGGTGCAGAATGATAGACAATCGCCCTGCTAGTCACGAAGAGAATTTGGGAATTCAGACATGGGTGCATGGTGCCATGTTTAGTAATTGGCCCTATTAGTATGGAAATGCAAAATGACGGATAATTATCATGTTGATTAGCTGACTTAACTCATGTATCTACTTCAAATCTTACACAAGAAAACTTTATCGTTGGATGATTCAAGGCCCCAGATCTTACACAAGAAAACTTGATCATTGGATGATCCAAGGCCCCATTACCCACCTCCAAGTTGGACATTTTCTTCGCTCAAATTCGTGCCCCCACCCACCCACTTGGTTGGCGTCTGACAAACAAATTCACTAGAGATATTAAAATCCAGCCATCTCTTTTTAGATCAACAAATCTTATACGAGACTTAGTGTTCAAAGATCACGACAGCAGAAACAGACAGATTAGATTACCTAAAATGCCAAATTTATTCGTTCCGGTACATCTTAGGATGTCACATGCACTGACAAATAAATTTACTTTCAATTATTCGATTTCGATCTAGTTAAAACAATGTGCGACTTTACTTGGTGTTGTAATTTTCGGTATTTTACCTATATCAATATTAAGTGATGAGTGTTGCAGACTCAGTCTCTAATGAGAGTAGCAAGACACCAAGCATTTCTTTTCTATACAATCGATGTCGAAAAAAGAGGATAAGTGAATGCAACATCTCAAATGTAAAAATAAATGCTCTTCAACTATTCGAGCTACAAACTCTTAATATTACTCAAAATCAATTAAAAGTTCTCTAACCTATACAAAAAGTAATACTATACATATATATAGGACAATTTTGACTACAACCAATGAGAATTGAATCATGTATCCCACAAAAAGATGACTTACACCCTAAGAAACTGCATGAAGCAATACACATGCAGCTGAACTTGCAAAAGCAGCCAACTTCAAAGTCCAAAATAAGTCGGCAGATGCTGCTGAAGAAGCTGGCAGTGACCCAAATGGCGAAAGTGCAGAGTAAGGCAGATCGTCGGGATTCGGAGGGCTCGGGTTGGAGGGAATGGTGGGTATGGAGGAATCAGTTGGAGTGGTAGGCACCTCCGGACCTGGAGATGGCAAAAGTGGAGCTATTTCTGGAGGCAGTCCTTGCAGATTAGAAGATGGAGGGGAGTTGGTGAAGAATGCTGGTGAAGCTGAGATGCTTGAGGCTTTTGAATTAAAGGTAAGGAGAGGTGAGACAATGAGAGCCGTAATGAGGGCTATATTTAACCAAAAAGAGGCCATTTCTAATGATGAAGATACCAATTCGCACAAAATTTAGGGGAGTGTGGTTTATATATTTCTTTTGTGAAAGTGAAAGTGCTTTTGGTGGAAGTTATGATTGGGCTTTTTGAAAGGATGACAGAAGTTGCCTTACTAGTTAGACTAGTTAGTACTAACTCTTTATTTATGTTCGATTTTAAATGAAAAATCTTATATTTTAATTTCGTAGATAGCAAATTATATACTAATATATTCTCACCATTTATGTAAATATATCATTTATATACTGATGCAGGTAAATGTTCTTAATAACTAAGTAACAGTATCATGCAGATGGTTAGAAGTTTTAGGTTGAGAGAATTTTCATTTTCGGAAACACGGTTCGGTACATCAAGTGTAATAATAAAAATTGGTTGAAATCATTTTTCAAGTTTCCAATCAATTGTATTATTACACTTGTACACTCGGCCGTGTTCCCAGCACATTGAAACGTTTCTGTTTAGGTGGGACCAATGTGCCACATGGGTAGAGTGAAGTTTCGGTGGATTTGAGCAAATACAGGTTGGCATGTGTAGGGAAGAGACAAAGATCAAAGATCGGCGATGACTTGAGCATATTTTTTAATTGGAATCAGATGGTTTTTTTGTTTTTCCTTTTGGTCTGTGACCTTGCTGTCCCCTTGATTTTCCGATAATCCGGAACCTTAATTCCTAATCTAATTGATTACTTCAATGTTATAAAACCATCCATCATCCTAAATACTTAGGGCTGGCCCTAATCAGTGGTGGAGAGTGTGACGGCCTAGGGCTAACGACTTGAAGGAGTACCTAAAATAAATAAATTATGTTACATGTTACATTATATATAAACAATAAAATATGTGTTAAAACATTATCGGACAATAAAAAGTGATTACTCACTAGTTAATCTCAGTAGTAAGTACTCACATTAACCCAATGACTAAACTTCAATCGAGCAAATTCATTAATTAAGTTTGACTTTACCTAATTTGTTTTTTTGGATGCTTAAAGTCCCAAAAAGAGTTTTAATATGCATTGACAAACAATTACTAACTAGTTCTACAGCTTACTGCTATTGTTCTTCACTTGTAAGTGAGAGGTCTCAGGTTTGATTCAAATAGATAATGAAGATATTATATTGATGTTGAGTTCTAAGGCCATCAATTAAAAGAAATATTCAAATGATATTTTTTGATTTGATCTTTTTTTTTTAACAAACGACGACATAATTTACACTAAATTTATCTAAATTATGAAGAATGTTTGAACCCAAGAAGCAGTGAGATTGAAGAATCGGAACAATCCACCACTTTTGATGCAACCTAATTGCAAACTCAAATAAATAAATAAAATTTAAAAAAAATAATAAAAAATAAAAGAAGAAGTTCATGGAAGAGTTGATTGATGTCACAACCTGTGAATCAATAATGCGCATGTCGAAAAATCAACATTAAATCTTTTATACAAGGATGTGTAGATCTTGCATAAGTAGCAAACAACTTATGAGTACTCTCCAGTCATCATCCACAGCCAAGTCAAAAAATCAAGAATTCCAAATATTTGTCACACTGGGGTCAGTACACAACTATTGTTATTTTACTACAAAGAAAATTTTAATGTGAAAAAAAAAAAGAACAAAAACCAAGCTGCATCGGACATTATTGGCTCATAACGCAGAGATCCGAACATGATGGACTAAAAAAGGGCAAGAAGTCAAGGACAATTATATATACCAACTAAGGATTAGTCCTACCTCTTAGGCCTCGTTTGGCAGCTCGGACTGTACTGACTATTTCTGTCGGATAGGATAAATAGCCACCGGATAGTACTGACTAAATTAGTCGGGCGTTTGGTGCAGTATCGGATTAATGACTGTATTATTTATATTGTGTTTGGTTTTATACCGGATAGGCTAAATCAAACTTAAAATTAAATTAAAGTTATAAAAATAAAAATAAAATCTGAAACCATCCCTTCTTCTTCCCTGTTCTCTCCGCCTGACCCCTCAAACGCCCTCCCTCTCTCTCCCTTCTTCTTCCCCGCCTGCCTGCACATTTGGTGAGCAACCATGAGTCATCAGATCACATCAACCCAAATCAAGATGCAACAAACGAAACAAACTAACGATTTGTTGACAAGGTTACCTCCTGCACTGCAGCATCACAAGTGGAATGGACTGGCGGCGGTTTGACAGAGAGAAGGAGAGTAGTTTGTTGGCGTTTTGAGAAGAGAGGTTTCCCAGACACCATGCCGGGCAAGAGAGTGCATGCTTCTTTGCAAGACCCAGTTGCATGGGAGGACGACGACGTCAACGGGGAGGACGACGACGGCAACAGGGAGGACGACGATGGTGAGAGAAGGTGACGGGGGGGGGGGGGGGAGGACAACGACGCCTAGAGAGAGAGAGAGAGAGAGAGAGAGAGGGCCGAGAGAAGGCGAGATAGAGAGAGGGCCGACTAATAATCCCGGCCTTTTGGTTGGTTTTATTAGTCCGGTGTATACCGTACTAAATAAGCACACCGGTTAATTTAATCCGGCGCTTATTTAGTACGAGTGAACGCCAAACACCCGCGTCCGTATAATTAGTCCTATCCGATCTGCCAAACAGGGCCTTAGGGTGTGAGATACCTCAAACTTCCGGAGAAAAAAAGAAAGGGACAATTAATTTATATACCAACCCCCAACCCCTCCCTCCTTCCCTTCCTCCCCAAAAGTCACGGGTCCAGCACGAGCAGGTCAACAACTAGATTGAATTGAACCATTAACCGACGAAGGATGTTCCAATCAAAGGAATTTCACAGGATCAAATCGAAACTTTGTAATGGTACATTAAAATTTTACCGGGGTCAGTGAACAACTATTGTTATTTTAACATAAGAAAATTTTAATGTGAAAAATGAACAAAAATCATGCTACATCGGACATTATTGGCTCATAATGCAGAGATCTGCAATCAATGATGGATTAGAAAAGGGCAAGCAGTCAAGGACAATTATATATACCAACTACGGATTAGTCCTACCCCTTTAGGGTGCCAGTTACCTCAAACTTCCGGAAGAAAAAAGAAAGAAACAATTATAATTTATATACCAACCCCCAACCCCTCCCCTCCCTCCCTCCCCCAAAAATCACGGGTCCAGCACGCATGCATGAACGTTGAATCCAAAGTTTTGTTGGGAATTTAACAAACAAACAAAAAAAAATGCTTAATTTTAATTGGAAAATGATCAATTTTTTAGCAGGTTGTCGATATCTAATGAGGAAATTGGAGGAACGGTCCCTGAACTATGATCGAAATGTAGTTTTGGTCATTAAACTTAAAATTCATTAGATTTGGTCCTTGAACTTAACAAAATGTAGAGCATTGGTCCCTCCATACTAACACCGTGAGATTTTCCGTTAGTTTGATGACGTGGTCTTTGTGGGCTCCATATTTTTGTTAACCAAATGCCACGTGGTTTAAAATTTCAAAATAAAAATAAATACAAACATAGAAAGAAAAATAAATAAAAATAATAAAAATATAAAAGTTAACTCTCTCTCTCTCCCATCATCCCTTCTGCCTCACCTCCTCCAAACCCCACCCACAGCATTGTAACACTCTCCAAACAACCAAAACAAAAGAAAGTTTCTAATCCAAATTTCAAACACATCTCCCTTTGTAAACGAATTCACAATGACATCCATCAACGCTGTCTCGACGGTTAAGATTCAAGAATTTTGTGGGATGCGGGTTTGGGGTTTGGGTGAAGGCTGTGCTCCGTGGGCTACAGGTTGGGGTCGGCTGGGGAGTGGGAATTAACGATTGGGGGTTGGAAGTGGGAGGTTGGCGGGTAGTGTATCAAAGATTGAAGTTGAAGGGGTGGGCTGCAATTGTTGGTGGATGAGGTAGGCCCAATTTTTGTTGTAGTTTTCATCTTTTCTATTTTATATATATATATTTGGGATAAGATCAAGGAACAAATATTTTTACAAATACTTTTACACTGTTTTTAAGCCTTTTGATTACATGACATTCAATGGTTCTTATTTATTCATTAAATGACATGTATGCTTATGTGGGTTTTAACTAGTATTAAAGATAAAATAAAACTGAAAAAAAATAAAATCTGGAAAATTAAAAATATAATTAAAAAATGAAGATAATTTAACTGAAATTGGTTCTCCTATTCCCATTTTGATGAAGACTTGGATTCAGACTTTGAATCCTAATAAAAAAAATCATGAAACTTTCCTGAAAACATCTTCAAGGGGTCGCTCCATTTCTTCTTCCATTATGTCAAAGGCAACCTGAAGCAATGCATGCCATATGCTATAATGAGTTAAGCAAACCCCACAAAGTAGAAGTGTCTCATCACAAATGCAAGCAACTGGAACCAATAACTTTTTGGTAAATTGAGATTTTACCTGATTGGGGATGGGAGGAACGTCGTCTTGAAGAATGCACAGTTCCTTCATATAATCTTCTCTGATAATATCATGTTTGTTTGCGGGAACCTTTCAATACATGGGTGAAATCAGGCATGTATTTAATTGCACAAGCATATGAATTTAAAGAAGTTTCATGATATTTTTATTAGCGTTCAAAGTTTGAATCCAAGTCTTGATTGAAATGGAAATGGGAAAACCAATTTCAGTTAAATTATCTTCCTTTTTTAATTATATTTTTAATTTTCCAGATTTTACGTTTTTTTTTTTCAGTTTTATTTTATCTTTAATAGTAATTAAAATTCACATAAGCATCCATATCATTTAATGAATAAATAAGAACCCTTGGATGTCATGTAATCAAAAGGCTTAAAAAGAATGTAAAAGTATTTGTAAAAATATTTGTCCATTGATCCTATCCTATATATATAGGTGAAACTAACATATAAACACTTTTAACTAAAGCTTAACGGAATTGGTAATGAAGGACTAACACTCCACATCTTATCAAGTTCAAGGACCAAATATAATGATTTTTTAGTTTAGGGACTAAAACTACAATTCTAGGATAGTTAAGGGACCATTCCTCCCATTTCCTCATATCTATTTATTATGTCTTGATATTTTATTGTAATATTGTCACTATATTTTTGGCATTTGATTTTAGTCGGTTAGCAATTAAGATTTAATTTCCGATCATTTTAAACAATTCCTTTTTTTTTGTTGGTAGATGA